TTCCTCACCCGTATATGCGCAGCTACTCATGAAACAGTGTGTCATGCAAGTGCAACGCACCGCTGGAACAAGCATTGGCTCGCTCTCAGGGCCTTCATCTCATGGCCTGAGGCGGGGGGCTGATCCGAACATCAGGCCCAAAACTGAGCCTACGATTCAACTTAGTACTATCTGAACAGGCTTCCCGATTGCAGGGACACAACAGCTTGTGGCGGCTACCTGCTTTGTGTGTGGTGAGTTTTTCTTTCGGAACAACGTATGCCAAGAAGCTTATTGCTGTCCCTCTAAGAGGCGTGAAGGGTGACGAACATGCTGGCGGCGATGCCGTGCACTCCAGGGCGGGATTGAGACCAGAACGTTCAGTGACAGTCATGTTGGGCTCGGGCATCTTCAATCACACGTCACACCTACGCTTGCCAATGTGGAGCGCCAGGACATTGAAGTTTCGGACCCTGGGGAGCAGCTTCCTCGGACCAGCACCGAAAACAAGTCCCCAAACGATGGTCATTCCCCAAGAATTTGCCCCATTCTGTGAACGGGGATCGTGTACGGCTTGAGGGTGACATTCTATTCTTCATCCTCGGCTCTACTGAAACTGTGATTCCTCGCAGCCTGTCCAGCGTGGTAGGCAACGCACACTTGTTGCCCATGCAGGGGGCTATGAAAGTTCCTCGGACGGGAGCTCGTCTTCGTCCTGGTGAGCTTTGACCTTGACACAACCAGACGGGGCCTCAGGGGAGAACCTGGCGATTTCCCTCCAAATGTGGGCGTGGGCGTTGCCCCCCCCCCCCCCTCCCCCCCGACACCGCCCGCTTGTGGTGGGCAGATGCTTTGGGCAAGGCGGTGTAGTCTACATGGATTTTCCTGCCCAGGCAATGGCCTTCACTGTAACAGGCCGCAGGGACAACAGCGGCATGCTCGGCTGTGCCGCTTGCTTGTGACATGCTGGCTGGGAGGGGTACCCTCTCTCATCAACTTGCACCACGCACGCCCGTGCGGGATAGGTGGCCCATGTGGGGAGCGAGGCAGGGCCCGTCAGGCAGCAACCACGCACTAGAGGGGGAACCGAAGCTCGTCGCAAAGGGTCCCGTCTGGTCTCCCAAATGTGATGTTCCAGTCCATGGCAGGCGGACCGCTCGACGTCTCCACTCGCGCGAGCCACCCTCTGCCAAACAAAAGTGAGTCAGGCCCATCGTTAAAGGCTTGGTCCATCAGATCTCTGGAGAAAGCACGCTGGTGATGGCGGCCTTTTGTGCACGAGCATTTCCAGACGCGATGCCATTCAGTGTCTGGCTCGCCACAACGGTCCCGCAGTCAAGAGGCTTTACATCCACATTTCTCGAGAGCAGACCCAGTCGGGAGGGAACCGCAAACCATTTGTTTAAACCTGACCTTGCCGAGGTGGCTCCATTATCCTTTCGCAAAAACGAGCAGCTGATGCGTGGTCTTCCACCACAGGCCCCGCGACTCAACATCTGCAGTTGCAAACATTCCGACGGTAGGACCCTTCACGAGATTATCTTTAGCTTGCCCTTTCCCTTTCCTCCTTGCCCTGGCGGACGCCCTCCTCTCGCCCTCTGCTCTGCCCTCTCTTCCTCTTCCTCCTTCTATTTTATCCTCCTCCTCCTCCTCTTCCTCGTTCTCCTCCTTCTCCCTCCTCATCACCACCCTCCCCCTAGTCTTTCTCCCCTCCACATCCTCCTCCTGCCTTTCCTACATGTGCACCTCACCTCCCCCCTGGTCGGGGCAAGCACGTCGATTTTCCTCGGCCCTTTCGCCGCCTCGGCCAGCACGCGCGCGTTCGCCGATGGATAAATCGCGAAGCCTTGCCTTTGGGACAATCCCGTGGGCCATGCCTTTGGGACAACCCCGCGGGCCGCTGGGGCGCGGGGGCGGGCCGCTGGGACAACCCCGCGGGCCACGCTGTTGGGACAACCCCGCGGGCCTCGAGGTGGGCGCGGCCGCGCCCAGGCGGGGGACAGCGCGAAATCCAGCCGTGCTGCGAGCTGCTCCGCCTCGACTCTGGTGCTCCTGGCTAGCGCGTCGAATTTCCAGCACGCCTTCCGCAGGGACGCCAACGGCCTGCGCTCTAGGAATTCGCGTGGGCGGCCGCAGGATCAGCATGTTCCGCCTGTACGTGGCGCGGGAAGACATGACGTAGAGGTGCAGCCACCACGGCTCGTCCGACATGCCCGTGCGACCAGCGTCAGGGTGAACTTCGAAAGGCGCGTGGCGCGCGGCCCCCAGCTCTGCCGGGTGAGCTCCTGTTCGCTGGGCTGAACATCGGCAAGCTCGCCGCCCGTGCCTCGGCCTCGCCGCTGTCGTCAGCGCCTTTCGGCGCTCTTCAGCAGCACTTCGGCGACCTCGTGGTAGATCGGAGATTTTGAATCCGTGCACCTGCAGCCAGGTTCCTTGCGGTAGGTAGCGGGGGCGAAAGAGCTGGCCTAGCGCGCGTTCCTCGTACTCCCGCTCGTCGTTTTGGTGAAACTCGATGGAACCGATGGTGGCCCGTTGCTCTTGCACGGGTCCTAATTTCCTCTTCGGTTCCTCCTGCGCGGCCGTGAACCAAACTTCCATGCCGACGTGTGCCGGTAAAGCGCCGTGGATGTCGCCGTCTGGTGCGTTTTCGGGACGTGCAAGAGGCGCCAACCCGCGTGTGGGTCGCCTTGAGTCGCGTTGCGCTCGTTTACGGCCTGCAGGAAAACGAGGGGCACGCCCAGACGCCGCGCGTCGCGACGAACACGCGTGTTGCTCCACTTCGCAAGCGTCACCCAGTAGATGCCCACGCCGTAGCCGAGCCGAGAGTTGTCGTGTCGTGCTGGTGCCGAGGTTGCGTAGGAATTTCTCTGCCCAGCCGCCGTCGTCTCCCTCAATTCCTGTTCTTCTTGTTCTCTTCATCTGATGGGTCGAGCGAGTGATCCTTTGAAGGGCACGAAGTGACTCCGCTCGGAGTGGCCCGCGAGGGTTCGCATCGCCCTTCGTTCCCGACGAGCCCATCGATGACGACACCTGCGAGATCCCGCGGGTTCGCGCGGATTCTGACATGGAGCTGCGGGCCCCATAGCGAAAGGGCTCCCGCTCGAGACTTCTGCGCAATTCATACACACACGAGGTTACCGCCTGAGCCTTCGTCAAGACTCAAGCCTTGCTTGGGAACCCAACATTGGCGACCGTTTTAGGTTTCGCATGACCCGTTTGGATTATCAATATGCAGTGCGGGTCCCACAGGGAGGGGCTCCCGCCTGACAGTTCCTCGCAATGCACACGCAAACGAGGCTCCCGCCTGAAGCGTCTTCAACATTCAGGCGCGACGGGCCCAAAAGTGACGACGGCTACATTGTTCCGATGACCCGTTCCGGTGGCTAACATGAAATGCGGGCTCAATGGGGGGGGGCTCCCGCTTGAGACTCCTCCGCCATTCACTCACAAACGAGGCTCCCTCCTGAAGTTTCTTCAAGATTCAGGCGTGAGGGGTCCAAAAGGGACGACGGGTACAGGGTTCCGATGACCCGCTCCGATTGTTAACATGAAGTGCGGCCCCCATGGGGGGGGGCTCCCGCTTCAGACTTCTCGCATGTCGCTCGCAAGCGAGGCTTCCGCCTGAGGCTTTTGATCCAAAAGGGACGACAGCTACAGGGTTGGGATGACCCGTTCCGAGTACCAAAATGAAATGCGGGCTTCATAGGGGGGAGCTCCCGCCAGAGTGTTCCTCGCCATTAACTCAAAAACGAGAATTCCGCCTGAGGTTTCCTCAAGATTCAGGCGTGGCGGGTCCAACAATGACGACAGGTACATGCTACATGGTTCGGATGGCTCGCTCCGATTGCCAACATGGAATACGGGCTCCATAGGGAGGGGGCTCCCGCCTGAGACTTTTTCGCAATTCGCTCAAAAACGAGGCTCCCGCCTGAGGCTTCCTCAAGATTCAGGCGTGGGGTGTCCAAAAGTGGCGACAGTTACAGGGTTCGGATGACCCGCTCCGATTGCCAACATGAAGTGCGGGCCTCATAGGGCGGGGGCAACCGCTTGAGACTTCCTCGCAATTCACTTCCAGACGAGGCCCTTCTTGGTCGATGATCATGATGGTGGTGTGCGTTGCTGATGGTCGATGATCTTGATGGGAACATGCCATGATGACGACTGAGTGATGAGTGAATGTGAGTGAGTGAGAGAGTGAATTGATGACGAGAAGGGTTGATGATCTTGACGGGATGGTGGTAGTGATGATGATGGTGAGTGGGATGATGATTGATGGTGGTGAGCATGATGTTGATGATGCTGATGATGCTGATGATGACAGGACGAGTGGGTGTGAAGAGGACGGGGTCTGGGTGAGGACTGCTTGGGGTGTTCAGAGAAAACAAGAACACCACTCAGGATGTGGGGAATAACACTTCTTGAATGTATGCAGAGAGGGCTTTCGAATTAGCAAATCTTTCAACTGAGAGGGCCATTTTTTCGCATCAGCAGCTGGTGAGACTTCCGTGATATTCAGTTCATAACCCCGACGATCCACACATGTACCAGCCCGAACATTTTTCCAGCCAGCAGGTTCAGCCCAAATCACGCGTCCGACTCCGGTCGAGTGGTTCTGGGAAACCAGTTCTGCCTTTGGGTGGGGTCTAAGTGGGCTCTAGCAGCAATTCGGGCTCGTGGCAGATCGGCCGCATAGAGAACGTCCTTATTCACATGTTTTCATTCTCATGTACCGCAGTGGCCATCCACCCCTTTTGGGAAGTCTTTGGACGCTGTTGACAGCAATACCGATAGGGTTAGTGTATTAGTATAGGCGCCAACACAGGTCCAGCTGGGCACCCCTGAACTTGGCAAATGATTTTCCTGCAGCATCTCGTACCTGGGCAATCTGGTGGGAGCTAAAGGCGTGACCTTCAGCTTCATAAGTCAACGTAGGTTTCAGGTTGGGCCGAACAAGTCCGTTCCCGTGCCCCGCCTTCAGCTCCACTCTAACCATACGTTAACGCTGAGACTGAAACTTGACCAACTTCCTCCTCCTCCTCCTCCTCTTCCTCCTCCTATCCCTCCTCCTCCTTCTCCTCCCCCCTCGCCTCCTCGTTCCTCCTTCGATGCGAGGCCTGATGGTGGTTTTCTGCATCGGCGAGCCGCTCGCCATCCGGGAGAAGGGCCTCGAGGCCGCGCCAAGCTTGACGCGCGGCTTCTCGCCCGAGATCCTCGTAGTTGTCATCTCCGTGCCTCCTCTCTCGAGGAGGGGGAGGAGGATGAGGATGAGGAGGAGGAGGAAGAGGAGGAGGAGGAGGAGGAGGAGGAGGAGCAGGAGGAGGAGGAGGAGGAGGAGATGGAGGATGACGAGGAGGAGAAGGAGGAGGAAAAGGAGGAGGAGGAGGAGGAAAAGGAGGAGGAGGAGGCTAGGGAGGAGGGGGAGGAGGCGGAGGAGGAAGAGAAAATGGGGGAAGGAGGCGGAGGCGGAAGATGGGGGAGGAGGAGGAGGAGGAGGAGGAGGAGGAGGAGGAGGAGGAGGAGAGAGGAGGAGGAGGAGGAGGAGGAGGAGGGAGGAGAAGGAGGAGGAGGAGGAGGAGGAGGAGGAGGAGGAGGAGGAGGAGGTGTGCGCGGTGGTGCAGGCTTGGCCGGTGGCAGCACCTGTATCGCCCTACCTCTCACCTCGTTGTGCGTTGCCCTTACAGCGCGCGCGTCTCTCGGGGACATCCCGACTAGTGCGGGCGCTGTCCCCCATGGGGTGGGCATATGCGGGTGAGCTCACTGTTGGGATCTTTCCTTTCTCAGATTATCAGCCGAATTTGCCTGGCCCTCTGGGCCATGTGACCGTCATCGACAGTCTCGGTAGGAAGCTACATTTGCGAAGTTGCATACGTGGGCAGCTCCCTGACCTGCGTCGGTGGCAACACTTACATAGGCTAACACGCCGGTCTTCAACGTTTCCTGCGCGGAAATGATATTTCGATTGTCCTCCCATAGTCAGTGTGCTTTTGCTGCTTATTTTCTACTCATCCATTGTCCTCTCCTGTCTCCATCCATCTAATGTTTCCCTGCTCACCATCCATGTGGCCATCCCTCATTTGCCTCGCTCTTCCCTTCGCTTCTGCCTCGTGCGGCATGCTGGGCGCGCCGAACGTGCCGTCAATCGACGCTGTGACGCATCTGAGCGCGCGTGCGTTGCTTGTGGAAAGAATTTCTGCGTTCGTTTTGCGGAACCCCGCCGCCCTGGCAGAGTAGCATGATTTCCGGGCCAGACTGGCCAGCTGGTAACCTGACTTCGGTTTTCGATGTCGCCCTCGCAGGTGCAGGTGGCGGATCTCGCGCAGCACGCGTGCGCCACCTCTCCCAGGCTCGAGCTGGAACGGCTCGGATTGCGGACTTCCTTGCCCGTTTGGGCCGCGTGCAAGTCGCGCGGTGCGCGTCGCGCCAGGCAAGCAGGGGCCGACTTTTGCGCGCGCAGACGATTCCATGATTTAGAGCAGGTGCCTTGTATGGGCGGTGCGGACCCATGACCTTGCACTCTGCCATCATCTGCGCCCCTAATCGTCAAGAGTGGCCCCTAAGTCGGCGGGGGCCATGGGCGTCCTCATGATTTGATTGGCGGGTGAGGGTCGTGTCTGTCGCAGTCAGGGCGCTGCTCCCGCTCCTCTTCTCGCTGCAGGTGCGTGGGCGCGGATGTCTCCCATCGGGGAGGTCTCTTCCTCCTTCCCCCACTTCTTCCACCCTCGTCCGGCCCCGCAATCTGCGGGGGTCGTGGGGCCCCCTCCCCGCGCGTCCCCTGAGTCGGGTCTAATCCCTTTTTTTTTTTTTTTCTCTTCTCCCCCCCTTTGTCAGGTGAGAAACCTCTAGCAGGGGGGGGTCGCAACCCTGCAGAAACCTCTAGCAGGGGGGTCGCAGCCTGGCAGAAAACTCCTAGCAGGGGGGTCGCAGCCCTGCGAACTTCCACCTCTAGACAAGAGCGCGAGAGCGGTGCGCTCGTGGTGGCCAGCGTTCGACCAGCGTGAAGGCTCGCATCCTTCGGGGTGCATGCCTGTTGATCAGGAGGTCTGCTCATCCTTCCGCTTTCTCCTTCCTCCTTCCTCCTTTTTTCGCGTCGTTTCGCGTCGGGGGGGTGGCGGTGCATTCGTCGCCCCCGCTCCCGTTCGGGGCAGCTGAGCCCTGGGGGCCCCGGTTGTTCCCGCTAATCGGCCCGTGCTTGTGGCGCATGTCGTGTCTCTATTGGAGTGCGCCTTTCGGGTCGAATGGGAAGGGTTCTGCCGCCTCGCAGGTGCGCGTCGACATGTTCTTTCTCTCATGCGTTCTCACAGTTTTATCATCCGTTTGGGTCGATGTCGTCAGATGCGCATCCTGTTTTTCTCCCGCGTAAATTGGCGCCGACAATCCTCCTTTTCACAGGTGTGCATCGTGGCGCTGTTCTACGACCGCCTTTTCTATGATTGCTCTCTGTCTCTCTCTCTCTCTCTCCTTCTCTCTGTGATGCTGCTTCTTTATTTCGCCCCTGCCAGGTCCTGTCGGTGCTCCGCTTGTGGGCGCCCTCTTGGCAGTTGAGCATTCAGGGCGCCTGTCGTCGAGCTCCCATATTCTGCCTACTTCCGCCGCGCGTGTCCGCGCGTCGCGCGCGATGGCGAAGGTCTGGCCGGTGGCGACGCCTGCGTAGCTCTACCCTTCACCTCGCTGCGCGCTGCCCTTGGGCCGCGCGGGTCTTTGGGCGCCCCGACTCACGGAGCGGGCGCTGTCCCCCTGGGGGTGGTTCTATGCGGATAGGCTCAGTGGTGCAATCGCCCCTCTCTCAGGAAGGGGGGGGGGGAGAAGGACGGGGGGGGGCAATCACGCAGGGCGGAATGCTCCCCGTGCAGCGCTTGCGTTTTGGAGTTCCTATTTCGTTTCCAAACGGTGCGTGCGCCTATGGGTTTGTCTTTGTATTGAGGAAGTGGGGCTGCCTGCCGCTCTTGCGTCTCTGTTGCCGCCGTCGATGCCCTGGCGCCGCTGCGTCGCTTCCCGGTGTCTGGGCCTGCCTGCTCCGTTGGCGGCTGCGTTGCCTCCGTCGCCGCCCTGTCGCCGCCTCGTCGCCGCCCGTCGTCTGGGCCAGTCTGCCGCTCTGGCGGGTACGTTGTCGCCGTCGTCGCCCCGTCGTCGCCCCGTCGCCGCCCCTCGCCGCCCGTCGTCTGGGCCTATTTGCCGGTCTGGCGGGAACGTTGCCGCCGTCGCCGCCGTTTCGCCGCCTCGTGGCCGCGCGAAACATCGATTTTTTGTTTTGAAAGAGGACTATGGCCCCCCCTTGAAATCAACAGTATCCTTTTTTCGTGTTGCGATTTACAGTTGGCTCTGCCCCAGCGTCCATAGTACATATCAATTAGTTTCATCCCAGATAAACCGACCGCCTTCATCCTCTGGATTAAAAAAAAAAACAAACACTGTATGCGCACGCTCGTTTGTTAACAATCATCAGTTTTCAATAGTCCGCTACAACATCTGGGCCAGGGTGCAGGCGCGCGTGTCGTCGCGCGCGCGTGCCGAACTCATTCAAACACTTCGGTTTCCGCAGCATTTTCAACATCGAGTGTCCCGAAAACGTATAAAAGCACATGGTTTCGCAACGAGAGTTTTCCCAAAAAACCGGCGGTCGCTCTTTTGCACATTCTTCAGACAACCATCGGTTCACAACACTTTCATCAAGTGCTACCAGACGGGCGTGTCGCGCGCACATGCCGGAATCGCCCGAACGCCTTTGTGCGCGTGCTGTCGCAAGAATCCCTTGCAACAGACTGGACGAAGTGCACGTGCACGCGTCGTCGCGCGCGCGTGCGGAAGTCTTCCCAACACCCTTGTTTTCGATGGGTTTCAGCATCGAATACCGGAAACATGTAAACAACCCGTATGGTTTTGCAACATCAGATTTTCCGAACAGGCATGCGCTCGCGGTCTTCCGAATTCTTAATAATAGCGAAGGTTTGCAACATTTGCATTGCATTCGTCCGTGCGGGTGTCTAGCGCCGCATGTCGACATCATTCGAGCGCCTTTGTGCACGTGCTCGTGGGGGGTGGGGGCGCGATCCGTGTCAAGAGGTACCACGCTGGCCATTCACGCGCGTCGGCCGCGCGCGCATGTGGAATTTCCCCAAAAACCTGGCCTGCATCGCCGACGCGAGGGCGCCGTCGTCGTCGTCGTCGTCGTCGGCGTGATCAGCATCGTCGTCGTCGGTGGTCTTGCCGTCGTCGTTGTCATCATCGTCGCCAGCATCGCTGTCATTATCTTCGGTTCTACTATTGTCGATGTTGCCAGGATGCCGCGCCCGCCCAAGTTGCCGACTCGCAGTGAAGTGCCCGTTGGGAAGTGCCCGGCGGTCAGCGCCACCGCGGCCGCGTCGGTGGCGCCAAACTATCTGGCCGCTGTGCGCGCGAGCATGCCCGGGCTAGCTCGGCCGAAGAGATGCACCAACCAAATCCAGGCAACCATCGCAATCGCCGCAGCCTGGTTTAGCGAACCAAGTTGCGGGTGGGTGGGTGGGATGGATGATTGCGCGAGCAGTGGAGTGGACAATCTAGTGCGAGCAAAAACGCATTGCACCACGTAGATAGCACCGCGTAGATTGCACAAAACATGTATTGCACCACGTGGATTGCACAACACATCTATCGCATCACAAGTGCTGCACCACATACAGTGCGCAATACACATATTGCACAACATATGTTACACCACGTAGGCGGCCAGAAACACATTGTTTGAGGCCCGCGCTGGCTAACATACTTTGACGTGCTTTCAGGCCGTTTTCGCGTGTGTGTGTGTGTGTGTGTGTGTGTGCGTGGAATGTGTGTGGGTCAGGCTTCAGGAGTTCAGAGTTTCGTCATCAGACTGGTCGTCGTCGTATTCCTTCCCCTCCTCTGGTTCCGCATCAACAGCATTACAACCACCCTGATGTTACTCACGCCCTCCACATCCCCTTACTTGTCCTGATCCCACCATCATCCTTCATCTTCCTGTTTCTCTTCCTCTTCTTCTCCGATTCCTCCTGCCCCTCCCGCGCATCCTCCTTCCTGCTCCTGCTGCTGCTCCCCTCCTCCCCCCATGCCCTTTTCCCGCCCCCCCGTCTCCCCTTCTCCGCCTCCCCGCTCCCCCCCTTATCCGATGGAGGCCGTCCTCGCCGAAATGGACGTGCAGCTCGCGCAGATCTACGGCCTGCTGGATCCAGCGAAGGTGGGAGCGATGGATGATAGAGGGGGGGGGGTGGCGATGGAACCGAGGAGGAGGAGGAGGAGGAGGAGGAGGAGGAGGAGGAGGAGGAGGAGGCGGGGGAGGAGGAGGAGGAGGAGGAAGAGGTGGAGGAGGAGGAGGAGGAGGAGGAGGAGCAGGAGGATGAGAAGGAGGACCACTAGGGTGATGGTGAGGATGAGGAGGATGTCCTCCTCTACCATCTCCCTCCACCCTCGACCTCCTATTCCCTCCATCCTCTCCTCCTTTTCCTCCTTTTCTATTCCCTCCCTCCTGGCTTACGCCATTCCGCCGACCCCCCAGAAGGAGCGAGTGCTTGCGACGATCTTGGAAGTTATCTAGAGGATCAGGCGCTTCTTGGGTGCACATGCGGGGCTCGCGGGAAGCCTTTCAGGGGGCCTCTTCGAGGGCTCTTGGGGGCATCTGGGGAGGGACCTCTTGGGCCTTCTCGGGGGCTTTTGGGGACTTCGTGGGGACGCCTCGGAGGTCTGTTGTGGCCTCTTGTGGGCGCCTCGGGGGCGTCAGGGGTTTCTTGGGGCCATCTTGCGGAGAACGAGTCGAGCTGTTAGTTCGTATCTTCCCGTTTGGGCTCCCCTCAATGCTTTTTTTGAGTTCTCTTTTGCCGTCTTGCGGGCCCCTGCGGCCGTCTTGGGGCCCTCTTGGGCTGTCTGTGAGCCCTCTTGGAGGCCTCATGTGCTCTCCTGGAACGATCTTGGGGGCCCCTTGAACCGTCGTGGACGCTGCCGAGACGAAAAAGTTGAGTATCGAAGACGTGCACGGCGAATCACCGCCGCCCCCTGCCTTTTGGAATCGCCCATGTGGCCGAGCGTTGTGGCACCAGCTCTGCCAACGTATCTGACCATGTGCCCACTCAACCGTTGTGGGAATCCTTCGGGGAACACTTGTGGGAGGATGGCGGGGCCGAGCATGAAGAAGAAGAGGAGGAGGAGGAGCATGAGGAGGAGGAGGAGGAGGAGGAGGAGGAGGAGGAGGAGGAGGAGGAGGAGGAGTAGAAGGAGGAGGAGAGGAGGAGGAGGAGGAGGAGGAGGCGGAGGAGGAGGGGCGATGATGACGATGATGATCAGGCGGAGGAGAAGGAGGAGGAGGGATAAGGATGAGGAGGAGGAGGAGGAGGAGGAGGAGGAGGAGGAGGAGGAGGAGGAGGAGGAGGAGGAGACACCTTGAGAGCCTCTGGGGGCACTCTTGGGGCCTCCTAGGAACTTCCTGGGAGCCTCTTGGAGGATCCTTCGGGCCTTCTTGGGCTTATTGGGGGCCTTCGGGGGCTTCTCGGGGGCCTCTTTGGTTGTGTTAGGGCATTCCTGGCCCGTCTAACGCCGTCGGAAGCCGTCTTGGGGGCCTCTCTGGTCCGACTTGGGGCCCTCTTGGGGTGCTCCGGGCCGTCTTGGAGGCCATCTTGGGCGTCCTGGAGGCCTCTTGGGCCCTCTTGGGGCCCTCTTGCCGCCGTCTTGGGGGCCTCTTGGGCCGTTTTGGAGCCATCTTGGAGGCCTCCTGGTGCCATCTTGGGGCGATCTTTGGGGGCTCTTGGGCCTTCCTGCTCAGGGGGCTAGTGGCAAAGGGGGCTCCGCCGAAGGCCCCAGTGGCAAAGTTCGCATGCAGTTCCACCCCCATTTCGGCGCCCCCCACACGGTTCGTGGCCCCATAGGGAGCTCCACCGAAGGCCCCAGTGGCAGAGTGCGCAAGCAGTTCCACCCCCATGTCGGCGCATCCCTCACACGGTTCGTGGCCCCATATGGAGCTCCACCGAAGGCCCCAGTGGCAAAGTTCGCGTGCATCTCCACCCCATTTCGGCGCACCCCTCGCACGGTTCGTGGCCCCATGGGGAGCTCCGCCGAAGGCCCCAGTGGCAAAGTTCGCATGCAGTTCCACCCCCGCTTCGGCGCACCCCTCGCACGGTTCGTGGCCCCATAGGTTGCTTTGCTGCAGGCCTCGATGGCAAAGTTTGCATGCAGTTCCGCTCCCATTTCGGCGCACTCCTTGCGCAGTTCGTGGCCCCATATGGAGCTCCATTGCAGGCCCCGATGGCAAAGTTCGCATGAAGTGCCGCCCCCCCATGTCGGCGCACCCCCAACGCGGTTCGTGGCCCCATAGGGAGCTCCGCCGAAGGCCCCAGTGGCAAAGTTCGCATGCAGTTCCACCCCCATTTCGGCGCACCCCTCACACGGTTCGTGGCCCCATGGGGAGCTCCTCCGAAGGCCCCAGTGGCACAGTTCGCATGCGGCTCCACCCCCATTTCGGCGCACCCCCCGCACGGTTTGTGGCTCCATAGGTAGCTCTGCTGCAGGCCGCAATGGCACAGTTCGCATGCAGTTCCACTCCATTTCGGCGCGCCCCTCGCGCAGTTCGTGGCCCCATAGGGAGCTCCACCGAAGGCCCGAGTGGCAAAGTTCGCACGCAGTTCCACCCCCATTTCGGCGCACCCCACACACGGTTCCTTGCGCCATAGGTAGCTCTGCTGCAGGCCTCAATAGCAAAGTTCGCATGCAGTTCTACCCCCACTTCGGCACACCCTTCACACGGTTCGTCGCCTCATAGGAAGCTCCACCGAAGGCTCCAGTGGCAAAGTTCGCATGGCCCCCACGTCGGCGCCCCCCCCACGCGGTTCGTGGCCCCATATGGAGCTCCACTCAAGGCCCCAGTGGCAGAGTGCGCACGCAGTTCCACCCCCATGTCGGCGCACCCCTCACACGGTTCGTCGCCCCATAGGGAGCTCCACCGAAGGCCCCAGCGGCAAAGTTCGCATGCATATCCACATTTCGGCGCGCCCCTCGCGCGGTTCGTGGCCCCATGGGGAGCTCCACCGAAGGCCCCAGTGGCACAGTTCGCGTGCAGTTCCGCCCCCATTTCGGCGCGCTCCTCACAAGGTTCGTGGCCCCATAGGAGGAGCTCCACCGAGAACGTTTTTTTTTTTTTTTTTTTTTTTTTTTTTTTTTTTTTTTTTTTTTTTTTTTTTTTTTTTTTTTTTTTTTTTTTTTTTTTTTTTTTTTTTTTTAAAAAAAAAAATAAAACAATTTTTCTTTTGTTTATGTACATATATATATATATATATATATATATATGTATATATATACATATTTATATATATAAAACACAATGCGTTACTCACAACTGCATATGGTTGGGTACTTCGCCAGGATAATTTGATGGATAGGACTCGACCACCCGATTCTGGTTACCCAAACGATGCTCATTCCGTTCCATTCCTGCTACACTTTTTCGCAACTCGACGAAATGTCGGCGAGAAACAAGTTGACTTTGTGCTGTTTTTTGACACTTCGGACGGCGGGCTTGCTATCGGCCGGCTAGGTGGGGACGTGGGGGTGTTTAATCATAGGAAGTAAGGATCAAGTTAGCCAGCTCGAAGGAGCCAAAAAGCTCCGTTCACTCCCATCCGCCCTCCCACAACATAAGAAGCAAGTGCGTCGCGTCCGACGCCTGTCGCTCATCTTATATCGTGGGCGGCTAAACGTTCAGCGCGCGCGACATGAGCTGCGTCCCATTCCTGCCGCATGTTGAGCAATGTCGACGAGAATCGACGAGAAACAGGACCGCGCGCGATGTACGCCGCGCCCCGCTCCGCCTTCTCATGTTGCGTTGTCGGCGGCAACATGTCCAGCGCGCGAAGTGCGCCGCGTCTCATTCCAGCCTCGCGCCTCGCGTGTTGTACCGCCAATCGTTTCGCTCCTGCCGCGCATGGAGGAAGGGGGGAGGAGGAGGGGGAGGAGGAGGAGGAGGAGGAGGAGGAGGAGGAGGAGGAGGAGGAGGAGGAGGAGGAGGAGGAGGGGAGGGAGAGAGGGAGGGAGAAACTGAGGAGGAAGAGGAGAATGCCTCTCGGGAGTTTGCGTGGCGTTCCATTCCCGCTACGCGATTCGCAGCGCCGAAGAGGAGAAAATACATGTTGGCAAGAAAAACGTCGACGTTGTTGCGTGTTTCTTTGACAGGTAGGGCGGGGGGTCCCGCGTAGGGTTGGCCGGGTGTCCGCGCGCGATGTGCGCCGCGTCCCATTCCCGCTACATTTTTCGCAGCGGCGGCGACAAAACAGTCCATCTTGACGTGGAACATGTTGAGTTTGTATGTTTTTTTGCCCAACCATCCTGTGGTGATGGGTTCTCGTTTGGAAGAAACAAGAAAGTCATTTTTTTGGATGGGTAGGACGCGACAACCCGTTTCCGGTTACCCAAGCGATGTTCATTCCGTCGAATTCTTGTGCAATTTTCGCAACTCGACATGTTGGCGGGGAACAAATTAAGTTTGGGTTGTTTTATGGCAGTTAGGACGGCGGGTTTGCTATCTGCCGGCTAGGTGGGGATGTGGGGGTGTATACATATAACGGCGCACCGGGTCTGGGGGCCCGGGGCCGGGACCCCGACCACAAATGTGGGCCCCGGGGGGCCCGGAGGCTCGTCGGACCGCCGGACGCCGTCCAAGATCGTTCGCAGGCGGCTTCGGAACGCGCTCCGATGGCTCCAGATGCCTTCCAAGACGCCTGTCATGACACCAAGAAGGTCCCAGAAGCCTCCAAGACGCTCCGAGAGGCAGCCCAAGAGAGGCCCAAGAAGCAAAAATCGTGCCATTCCTATGGGAAAACGTATATTTTTCGCATGTTCGCCTCTTGGGCTTTCACCGCGTCCAAGACGGCCCAAGAGGCGCCCAAGACCGCCCCAAGACGGCCCAAGAAGCTTCCAAGAGGGCCCCAGGACAGCCCAAGAGGGCCCCAAGACGGCCCAAGAGGCGCCCAAGATGGCCCAAGAGGGCCCCAAGACGGGCCCAAGAGGGGGCCCAGAGGGGGACCACGAACCGCAAGCTCGAGCCTTCCGCCCCAAGAGGCCGCCAGGAGGCCCCAAGGAGGCCCCTCAAGAGGCCCCAGGAGACCCCCAAGAGGCCCAAAGGAGGCCCCGAGAAGCCCCAAATCGGCCCCCAAAATGCTTCGAACCTGCTTCCAGGAGGCCCCCGACAGGTTCAAAGGCCCCCGAGAAGCTACGTCAAACTCCCAGCGAGCGGCCGGACGAGGCCCCCCACAAAATCACAAGAGGGTTCGGTTCCAGTATTTGTATCCTTCAGCGCTCTCTGGCCTTCTTCCCCCTGCCCCCTTCCGTGCGACTTTCGTTGACTCAAGCTCGCCTCCTAGCTAGAACCTAAGCGCGCGAAGCGCGCGCGTGGTTCTAGTTTAATTATTGGAAATCAGGATGTGGTGGTGGTGGTGGTGGTGGGTGGTGTGGTGGTGGTGGTGGTGGTGGTGGGTGTGTGTGTGTGTGTGTGTGTGTGTCCGTGTGTGGGAATGGGAATGCGGGGGTGGGGTGGGTGTGGGGGGGGGGTGGGAGTTGGGGGGGCGCGGGGTGGGGTGGGGGGTGGGGGATGGGGTGGGTGGGTGGGGTGGTGGTGGTGGTGGTGGTGGTGGTGGTGGTGGTGGTGGTGGTGGTGATGGTGGTTGTGGGGGTGGCTCCCCGAAGGGGCAGGGTGGATTGTGGAAGAGGGGACAAAAACACCGTTAGACCTCCTGTCGTCCAGAGGGCTGTTAATATTAATTAACCAGCGAAGCTCCTGCCTGAGGCTTCTGTAAAATTCAGGCGTGAGGGGCCCGCAAATGACGGCAGTTATAGGATTTTGATGGCCCAGCATGAAGTGCGTGCCCCATACGGGGGAGGCTCCCGGCAGTGACTTTTTCGCAATTTCTTCTCGCACGAGGGCCCCGCCTGAGGCTTCTGCAAGATTCAGGCGTGAGAGGCCCGCGAGTCACGACAATTACGGGATTCCGATGGCCTGCTCGGATTGTTAACGTGAAGGGCTCTCCCGCTTGAGACCTCCTCGCAATTCATTCGCCACCGGGGCTCCTGTCCGACGCTTCTTCAAGAATCAGGCGTGGGGGGCCCGACAGCGACGGCAGTTGCAGGATTTGCATGGCCCGCTCGAGTTGGCAACGAGAAATGCGGGCCCCATAGGGTGGGGGGCTTCCGCCTGCGCTTTTGTCGCTATTCATTCACAAGTGTGGCCTTTCTTGGTCGAGTATCAGGATGGGATGGTGATAGTGGTGGCGATGGTGGCGTGCGCTGCTGATGGCCAATGATCATGATGGGATCATGGCATGGTGGTGACTGAATGTGAGTGTGTGTGAGACAGTGAGTGGATGACGGTGAGAGCTGATTCTGCTGATGGGATGGTGGTAGTGATGATGATTGCGAGTGGGATGGTGGCTGATGGTGGTGAGAAGGATGATGAGGATAATGGTGATGGTGGTGGTGACGATGATGATTGGAGGAGATGGTATGGCAAGGACAGGACGTGGGTGAGGACTGCGCCGGGTTTCCAGAGAAAACAAGAACCTCACTCAAGATGGGGAATATTCTAACAAGTCGTGACTCCAACCAGAGAAGTGGACCCGCATGGCGATTCAGGTTATCGTCGCCTTAACGACGAAACCGATGACGAAGTCAAGGGGCATGGCAACCGAGGAGCTAACCTCTTACTGCGAGGTCACGCGCTTAACGGAAACTCAGTAGCACACCTGCGGGGCCTCGAGGAGAGCCATGCGACAAACCCCGGGAGCGTCTGGAAGCGCCCAAGAACGCCCATCAGCGTTTGTGAGTTGAGTGTATCTACCTGCAGTGCTCAATATGGAAGATTCGCAGCGATCTGAGGGCTTTATACTCAGTGCCTCGCGGCACGGTGGTGGATGTTTGAATTGAACCGTCGTGAGGGGACTTGGGACGGGAGGGTGTATTGCAGCTTCAGTGGTGTGTGCTGGGTTTACTGTGGTCCTGCTTCGCCTCCATGAGGAGAGGAGGAGGAGGAGGATGGGGAGGGGGAGGGGAAGGAGAGGAGCAGAATGAGGTGGTCATCGCCTACGAGCCCGTCTGGGCCATCGGCACCGGCGTCACCGCCAGCCCGCAGGCTTCGGGGGAGGGAGAGGCCCCTGAGCACGGCCTCCAGTTCAACAGGCAAATTCCAAACCCAAATTGTCAAATCTCGTTCCCGAGCTGGCAGATCCCAGCCCCCAATGAGCAGTTTCTAAGGGGGAATAGGAGGGATCAAGGAAGGGGAGGGGCTGGGCAACGGGTGATAGAAGGAAACGTTGTATTATTGTACATGAGATGTGCGTGTATGCTGCACGTGTGTTTGCTCCTCGATGCGCGGCCCGCAGAGCAGCCAGGCACCCGTTGTGACCAGGTTGCGCTTCGATGTTGGCCCGAGGAGAGGCGAGAAGGGAAGAGGAGGAAAAGGAGCAGGAGGAGGGGGACGAGGAGGAGGAGGAGGAGGAGGAGAAACAGGGAGTATAGTAGTAGGAGGAGCAGGAGGAGAGCGGAGAAGAACAACAAAAAACACTGCTGCGGTGTAAACGATGGTGCCCGTCTGGCCTCGCCGCACTGAGGCGAGCGCGCCCGCGAAGCCGCCTTGGCCAAAACTCCCGCGGGAGGTTGGCCAGCGTCGCTTTGCCGAGGAGAGGGCCCAGAAACGCCCAGGCGGACTTCTCCTGCGCGCCGCGCGGTGCCGCGCGAGCCTTGAAACGCGGCAAGTCCGCGCGTGCCTCTGCGTTGCCTCCCGGTTTCGACGCGGCCAGTAGGGTGGCTGTGCGGTCCGCCGCAGAGGGCAACGGAACCACCGACGCCGCCGGTGCTGGTGTGCTCGCCGCGGTGATCGCTGCGCGCGCAAGACGCCTTTGCGCGGCGTCCAATTTTTTTGGCCGAAGGAGAAATCGTCGAGGGCCACGCCGTCCAAGTCCATGATGGTCGTCGCCCCTTGGCCGCGTAGCGCGTTCGCCGCGGTCTCGAGCAAGGTGGCCTCGTGGGTTGATGCCCCGTCCTAGGCGCCGAGGAAATTGCTCATCGGCCATTGCGTAATTGCGGCCGCCTCGCGACCCGAGCGGCTCGACGCGCGAGCGCTGTCAGCTGCATGCGCGGGCGCGCGCGGGGCAGGGGGCGCGCGGGGCCCCGAGCAGAGGCCAACGAGGCACGCGCCCTTCCCGAGATGGGGGCAGCGCCCCGCCCGCGACGGAAGCCGGCGCCCGGCCCGTGACAAGGCCCAGTGGCAGCCGAGGAGGGCAGCACCCAAGGCAGACGGGGCCCAGGAGCCATCGCCCCGCCCAAGACAGGGACCAGGGGCCAGCGCCCTCCCCCTCACACGACATGGTCCTGGGGCCTGCGCCCTACCTGAGACGGGGACCAGGGGCTTGCGCGCTCCCCATGCGCAACCTGATTCCAGGGGCTTGCGCCCAGCTTGAGACAGGGATCCAGGGGCCTGCGCCCTCCCCCTCGCGAGCCTCGGTCCTGGGGCCTGCGCCCAACCCGAGACAGGGATCCAGGGGCCCGCGTCCTCCCCCGCGCGCGGCAGGGTCCTGGAGCCAGCGCCCATCTTGAGACAGGGAGGGGGCTGCGATCTGAGGAAGTGTCGCCACTTTGGAGGGCTGCTGGGGAGGCCGAGAGAGTGACTATGCGCCGCAGGTTCAAACTAGACCACGCCATCCCTGGGGGTCTGCGATCTGTGAAACTGTCGCCACTTTCGGGGGCCGCTGGGGAGGCCAACAGAGTGGGTACCCGCCGCAGATTCAAGGTCGACCTCGCCATCCCTGGGGGGGCTGCGGTCTGTGAAACTGTCGCCACTTTGGAGGGCTGCGGGGGAAGCCAACAGAGTGGGTACCCGCCGCAGATTCAAATTAGACCCCGCCGTCCCTGGGGGGCTGCGATCTGTGAAACCGTCGCCACTTTCGAGGGCTGCTGGGGAGGCCAACAGAGTGGGTACCCGCCGCAGGTTCAAATTAGACATCGCCATCCCTGGGGGCTGCGATCTGTGAATCTGTCGCAACTTTCGAGGGCTGCTGGGGAGGCCAACAGAGTGGGTACCCACCGCAGATCAGAATTAGACCTCGCCATCCCTGGGGGGGCTGCGTTCTGCGAATCTGTCGCCACTTTCGAGGGCTGCTGGGGAGACCAACAAAGTGGGTTCTCGCCGCATATTCAAATTCGACCGCGCCATCCCTGGGGGGCTGCGATCTGTGAAACTGTTGCTACTTTCGAGGGCTGCTGGGGGGTCCAGCATATTGACGTCCCACGCAGATTCAAGGTCGACCTCGCCATCCCTGGAAGGCTGTCATGCGTGAACCTGTCGCCTCTTTCGAGGGCTGCTGGGGGGCCCAGCACTGACGTCCTACGCTGATTCAGACTAGACCTCGCCATCCCTGGGGGGCTGCGATCTGTGGAAGTGTCGCCACTTTCGAGGGCTGCTAGGGGTCCAGCACAGTGACGTCCTACGCGGATTCAATTTAGACTTCGCCAGCCCTGGGGGACTGCGATCTGTGAAATTGTCGCCACTTTCGAGGGCTGCTGGGGGGTCCAGCATAGTGACGTCCTACGCAGATTCAAATTCAACCTCGCCATCCCTGGGGGGCTGCGATCTGTGGAAGTGTCGCCACTTTCGAGGCCTGCTGTGGGGTCCAGCATAGTGACGTCCTACGCAGAGTCAGAACAGACCTCGCCATCCCTGGGGGGCTGCGATCTGTTAAACTGTCGCCGCTTTCGAGGGCGGCTGGGGGGTCCAGCATAGTGACCTCCTACGCGGATTCAAATTCGATTTCGGAAAGAGCATGTTCTACCGCTGCTGGCGGACAACAAGGGGGGGGGGGTCACTACCGGTTCGACCCCCCCCCCCCCTTCCCCTCCGGAAAACCCGGGGGGGTCACTACCGGTTCGAACCCCTCCCCCCCCCCAGTCCACCATGAAAAGGGGGAGGGGTCTTTACCGGTTCGAACCCCCCCCCCTCTCGAAAACCGGGGGAGGGTCACTACCGGTTCGGGGGACAGTGGGGACATTGACACACTGCTGGGGGCACTGGTGGGGACAGCGGGGACAATGGTGGGAACAGTGGGGACAGTGGGACAGTGGTGGGGACGGTGGTGGACAATGATGGGAACAGTGGGGACAGTGGGACAGTGGTGGGGACGGTGGTGGTGGGGACAGTGGTGTGGGGACAGTGGGAATGTGGTGGAAACAGTGGGACAGTGGAGGGTACAGTGGTGGTGGGGACAGTGGTGAGGGCGGTGGCGAGGACGGCGGTGGGACAATGGGACAGAGGTACAGTGGGGACAGTGGTGGGGACAGTGGGGACAGTGGTGGGAACAGTGGGACAGCTCAGTGGGACAGCGGAGGAGACAGTGGGACAGTGGGGACAGTGGGGACAGTCGGGCAGTGGTTGGGGCCGTGGAGAAAGTGGGGAGAGTGGAACCGTGGTGGGAACAGTGGTGGGGACAGTGGGGACAGTGCGACAGTGGTGGGGGCACTGGTGGGGACAGTAGGGACGGTGGTGGAACCAGTGGGGACAGTGGTGGTGAGGACAGTGGTGCTGGGAACAGCAGTGGGGGATGTGGTGCGGACGGTGGTAGGGACCGGGAGTCGTTTGCTGGCGGTGAGCGTGGGGGGAGGGGGGGGAGGGGGGTTCGAACCGGTAGTGACACCCCCCGGTTTTCGAGGGCGGCGGGGGGGGGGGCGTGACCCCCCCCGGTTTGGTTCGTGACCCCTCCCCGGTTTTCCGGAGGGGGGGATGGGGGGGGTTTCGAACCAGTAGTGACCCCCCCCGGTTTTATGGAGGAAAAGGAAGGGGAGAGGGGGGGGTGTTCGAACCGGTAGTGACCCCTCCCGGTTTTCCGAGGGGGGGGGGGTTCGAACGTAGTGACCCCCACGGTTTTCCAGAGGGGGGGGGGGGGGTTAGGGGAGGGGGGGTTTGTCGGGGAAGGGGGGGGGGGGGAGGGGGGGGGGGGGGATTTTCGGAGGGGGGGGACCCCCGGGTTCCGGAGGAAGAGGGGGGGGAATTTTCCAAAGTAAAGCGGCGGTGGATCACGCTTTCTCAGACCTCGCCATCCCTGGGGGGCTGCGATCTGTGAAACTGTCGCCACTTTCGAGGCCTGCTGGGGGAGTCCAGCATAGTGACGTCCCACGCAGATTCAAATTAGACCTCGCCATCCCTGGGGGGTTGCGATCTGTGAAACTGTTGCCATTTTCGAGGCCTGCTGGGGGTCCAGCATAGTGACGTCCTACGCAGATTCAAATTAGACCTCGCCGTCCCTGGGGGGCTGTGATGCGTGAAACTGTCGCCGTTGTCGAGGCCTGCTGGGGGGTCCAGCATAGTGGGGTCCCGCGGCGGACTCAAATCGGACCTCCCAAATGCTGGTCGCAGAATACATACGTCCATGTCTCGTCGTCACCTCCTGATGAAGTCACCCAAGCTTTTCATGCCCCGCATTGCGCAGGGGTTGGGTACGTCGCCAGGGTAATTTGAATACGGGGTCCCCAAAAAACTCCGACCCTTTTCCCCAGTGCTGTTTTTCATCCCGAGTTGTTTTGGATTGTCCCAGGGGCCCGGCGAGAGCCCCCAGAGGCCGAAACCGGCCAAAAATTGTCCGTCGCATGTTATTCAAGACGCGAGCATGTCTTGGTTTGCGCTCCTCACTTCCACTTCCTCGTGCGTTTTTCTGCTCCTTTTCGTTCTCCTCACTCCCAGGACGCCCAGGACACGCATGCGGGCATCCGCAAGCTCATCGCCGAGAAGGCGTCCCCACAGGTCGCCGAGGCCGTCCGCTGGGCTCCTCGATCTCATACTGATGATGCTGTTGATGATGCTGCTATCGTTGCTGATGATACTGGTGATGGCGACGACACCAACGACGGCGACGCTGCCGATGCTGATTCTGGTGATGATGGTGATACTGGTCCAGAATTTGCTGACGACGGTGATGCTGATGCTGATGATGCTGCTGCTGTTTTTGTTGATGCTGATGATTTTGGCGATGCTGATTCTGACGATGATACACGATGATAACGGTTATAGTGAGGGCTGGTTGAGATGTTGACGACGATGATGATGATGATGATGATGATGATGATGATGATGATGATGATGATGATGATGGTGCTGATGATGATGATGATGCTGATTATGATGCTGATGATGATGATGCTGATGAGGGCGATAATGATGATTATCATGATGGTGATGCTGCTGATAGTGATGATGTGGATGCCGATAATGGTGGGGATGCTGCTGCTGCTGATGATGATGATGGTGAGCATGATGCCGATAATGATGAGGATGTTGCTTATGATGGTGATGATGATGTTGATGATCTTGTTGATGCTGTTGCTGCTGCTGCTGATGATGATGGTGTAGATGCTGCTGCTGATGATGATGATGCTGAGCATGATATTGCTGCTACTGGTGATGATGCTGGTGCTGATGATGGTGATGGTGATGGTGATGGCGATGATGATGATGATGATGATGATGATGATGATGATGATGATGATGATGATGATGATGATGATGATGATGATGATGATGATGATGATGCTGATGATGATGATGATGACGATGCTGATGATGATGATGATGATGATGATGATGATGATGATGATGATGCTGATGATGATGATTATGCTGCTGCTGCTGCTGATGATGATGATGATGATGATGATGATGATGATGATGAGGATGATGATGAGGATGAGGATGATGATCATGATAATGCTGAATGGTGATGGTTGATGGTCACGACCTTCCTGGTGACGTCGTGCGTAGCGCAAGCTGGCTTACCAGAAGGTCCATCGTTGCGAGCGGCACTCCGTGCCAACGCAAGAGATGACGGCACAGTGCGGCTGGCAATGAGACGGACTCGATTTGGAGCGCGAATTCAGACAACATTGAGCACGGCAACCGTGCAAGCGTTCATTCTCAAGGTGAGGTGGGCAAACTTTTTGGTGGAACAGCAAAGAAGGCCAATCGCCCGCTGCCAGATGCAAGGCTGGCGTAGCTAGCTGCGGCTAGCTGGCGCTGCGACTGGTGTGCGTGCCGGGACGCTGTCGGGGTGGGCTGACCGCCTCATGCCTCACGTACCTTCATGAAGCACCAGTGTGTGTGTGTGTGTGTTCATCTTTTTGCTGTGGTCGGTGCCGCTTCGCGAGAGGTAACGTTTGTGCCAGCCGGAAGCTTGGTACGCAGCCTGTGCCTTTGGTAGGTGAACCCGTAGCGGCCCGATGTGGGCTTGATGTACGTAGTACTTGAGGCCATGAGGTGACGCCGTCAGCATCGGCATGTCGATGATATTCTGCCTACCCCACGCAGCGGTGCTGACGCTCACGGGGCCCCTGTCGATCCATCCGGCCAGCGCAGGGGAGTGCGCCTGAGACTATGCACGTTGAAATGCACCCAGAGCTCGAGGTGGTCTACGATGACGGACAACTCGATCGCCGTGATCTCCCAAGAGACGTGACGTCCCAGCTCGGCGTCGCGATGCAGGAATCGACAGAGCCTCAGGGTCTACGCCCTGGGGAGTACTTTCCCCTGCGGGCCCGCGATGTACACGGCCCGCCAGGCCGCGTTCGAGCGCTTCTGCGTGACCGGGAAGAGGTCCGCAGGCTGCATGCTGGACTCAATGGACAGGTACCAGGTAAGCCAGGGCGGCAACGAGCACGTGTGCGGGTCGAGATCCTCAACGGCTCCCTCCTTGCGCTGCGCAGCACGGGAAACGGGGCGGGGACGTGGATCTGGTCCCCCCAGGTCCCGATCGATGACCTTGGGGACGCCTCTCCCCCTCCGCGCTGGGGGGCAATTCGGTGCATCTTGTTGGACGGCTTTGAGTGTTGGCTCATCGAGGTCGCCTTCTCTTTCCACGTGGCAGCAGTCGCGCCGACCGAGCATGGCCCTCCTGGATTGCTTCTCTGAGCTCATGCATGTCCACGTGTAGTTATTCGACTCCTTCTTCGGATTCTTTGCATTCTTTGCGCGTCGTCGGCATTCATCCTGCTCCCACCGACCGCCCCCTATCCGGTCGGCTTCTTCCACCTCTCCCCCCCATTCTTCCTGGCTGCGATGCTTGGCTCCGATGCGTGGGCCTTCCCGGCGAGGACATCCCGTGCAGCGCGTGTTGTTCGTTGCGGCTTTGCCGGGTATTGGGCGCACTTCCCCGAGCTGCTGTGGTTCCGCCTCCCAGGGGCTATCCACCGATCTCGTCTGCGAGCCCTTCTCGTCAATCAGGGCAATGCCGCCCGCGGGGGTATCTCGGTTGCGGCGTGGAGCGCTCAGGCTTCCTTCGCGGTCGCGCTAGGTCGCCGGGAGGTTGAGTGCGCGCGCGTGCAGTCCCTCATGGGCCGAGCGCAGGCGGTGATGATCACTGAGGCGCACGGGGCGGAGGGGGCCCACCAGGTGTGGCAGCCCCCTTCGGGTGCGACAGCATTGTGGTCCGCCGGAGCCAAGACCGCTCATGCGGGCATCGGCCTCATAGTCAGATGCGCTACTGAAGAAGTTTGACCCCCGCCCTGCGTGGAGGATCGCTCTGCCAGGGAGGGCTGCCAAATTCGAGCTCTGTGGCCCAGGGGGCGCCCTGGACCTAGTCGTGGCGTACTTCCCGATTGGCACTGCCCTCGGCGGGCGCGACATGTTCGGTTGCTCAGCATTGGGGCGGGCGCAGGCCTTGTCTTTCCAGGATCTCCGCGGTTGTCTCCGCTCGCGCCTTTCCCGCGATCGCGCCCCGCCAGTCGGCGCTCGCGATCCTGGGTGGTCTTCAAATGCGTCGCGGGCGACTTCGATCGTTTTGCGCTGAGTTCGGCGCGAGCCACGGGCAGGAGGGGCGCGCGCGGGGAGAAGCATGTCCAGCGCCTGCTCGGCGCCCCCTTCGGCCTGGCGGAGCTGCGCCAGCCAAGACCCGCTCGCGCCGCAGCAACTTCGAGGGCGAGATTAGATAAGGTCTACATGAACCACAACAGCACCGACCAGATCGACAGGCAGCTGCGCGCGGCCGCGTTGGAATGGAAGCTTCGCCTGTCCGCCCGCCACCCCGCCCTCGTGCCCCGCGCTGCCCCGCAGAGGCTCTCCGAGAACACGCGGCGCATCCCGGACTTCGCGGTGCGGCGCCCGGACTTCAAGCGGCGGATCGCGCTCGTATTCGAAGAGCGCCTCGCTGCGCCCCCTTCCGCCTCGGGGCTCGCCAAACTCCTGATGTTCAATGCGGCGGTGAAGCAGGCCGCAGTGCGCATGGCGGCCGACCGCGCCGCCCCTCCCGCGGCCGAGTCCCGCGAGGACATATCAGGCATGGCCATGAAGCTCTTGCGATCCATCGAATGCGGGCTTCCGGAGGAGGCTTCGAAGTGTCTCGTCAGGCACCCGCCCCTTCGCGACCTGGTCCACAACCCCTGCGACCTCCCAGGTGATCTGTTAGTGCGTCTTCGGGATCTCCGACAGCGCGCGGCCGAGCTCGCCCGCGACCATGCGCTGGGCGAGCTCGCCGCCGCCTCGGTCGCGCCGTCCCCGGAGCGGCGCGAGGGCGAGGGCGAGGGCGAGGGGAGATGGCGCGGTGCCCACTCGTGTCCGTCGGACGCGCAAGCGGGGAGCCCGACTGCTCCATAGACTCGCTCCTGGCCGCTCGGTGGGAATCGCGGCCGCGCCGGACGCCTCCGGCAGGGTCCAGACGAACTCGGGCGACGCTGTCAACGCTCTTCGTTCGCGCTGGAAGGCGGTCTTCGAGGCGCGCGGCCACGACTCTGATCGTCTGCGCGCGTGGGTCGAGCAGGGTGGGGCAGCGCGGCCCCCGAACGGCCCGCTCCTGGGTCTTCCCGCTCAACTTCGGCGTCGACGCCGCCGCGTTCGCAGCGCCCTGAAGCTCGCGGGCAATGCGGCGCCTGGTCTGGATGGCATTCCCCTCCAGGTCTGGCGTTTATTCGATGATTTCGCAGTGAATTTGTTCTTTGGCGCTTTCAACGGGCTCCTCGAGGACGACGCGGCGGGGGAGTTCGCGTCCCTCGGGCCTGCTGCACCTCCTCCCGAAGGAAGCTGGGGGCGCGCCGATCTATGCTGCGAGCGCCACGCGGCCCCTGAACGCGGTCAACGCGGACAACCGGGTGCTCGCCAGTTCCGTCCGGCATATGCTTGGGCCTGTCCTGGCTCTAAGGGTCTCTCAGGACCAGCGCGGGTTTCTGCACGGCAGATCCACGCTCGCAGACGTCATCGATTTTGAGGAGGCCATGTGCCTCGACGCGATCGACCATCCAGACGCTCTTGCCTTCTCCGTGGACTTCGAGGCGGCGTTCCCCTCGGTGGAGCACGGCTTCTTGCTCGAGCTGTTCCGGCTTGCTGGATGGCCCGACTGGCTACTCTGGTACTTCTGCGTTCTCTACCGCCAGAACGTGTGCGCGATTGCAATCGGCAGGGCGATGTGCGGCGATTTCGTCGCCGCGCGGGGGGTCAGGCAGGGTTGTCCTCTGTCCCCTCTGCTCCTGGCTGCCTCGTCCGACCTCCTTTTCGACCGAGTGCGGCGCCCCTGCTGCTGGGCCTGTGCGGGTGGCCCCGCGGTGCTCCTCCGCGACGGTCTGCGCGCCGTGCCCGCGTTGGCTTCAATTTTGGCCAAGTTCGCCCAGGTCTCTGGCTTGCGCCTCAACATAGCTAAAACAGCGGTGGCGCCCCTATCGGACGGCGACCCGGAGGCGCTGCGATCTGCCATTGTGGCTCCTGTTCCCGAGTGGGGCCAGATTGGGATAGCCTCCCGCGCGAAGTATTCGAGGTTTGAAGTGGGGCCCAGTCGCGGCGCGCAT